TCTCTCTCTCTCTCTCTCGCTCTGGTATGCTCCGTTTCGGCTTCACTGTGCCGTTTTACCCCCTCTTGGTCTGAGGGACTAGTCCTGTATGGCCCCAGACCTTCAACCCGACATCCTGACAACAGAAACAATACTGGTACGGTAGGAACAGAAACATTCAGAACACAACTCATACTGGTAAGTTTTCGTCGTAGCAGCGTGGTATTCAGGGCTTCGAGTCGAGCCTGCGCCTGGCCCTGGCTCCGTTTTTGGAGGTCAGAGAAACCCGAGATAAATCGCCCTGATACCGGAACCTGCAAACTGTCGACCTGGAAAGTTTGCAATCAATTTGGATTGACAGTTCAGGGTCTGGGTGGGGTTGATTAGTTCAGGGTTGATCCGTTCCCTGTAGATAACAGCTCTGGTTTGACAGGATAGCTTTCTGGGCTTGTGGCCTTGTATCGTCGGGTTGAAAATGCACGGCTTCAAGGCTAGAGAAAGGTCAAGTCTCAATCTGCCACTGGTGGCAATTCTGCCAGCTCTTGTGCCCGATGTTGTTGTTGATGGCCATGTTCGGAAATCTGGGCGGGCGAGGGATCCGCAAGAGTGACCCCCACGAGCTTAGTCGGTTTGGGTTTGGAGGCCGACGAACTTAAGTCTGTTATCCGCCCATCCTCGTCAATGTGTTCCTTGTGAGCCGCTGGCTCGTCGAATGATCTCGCATCTTGAACTCTTCGCAGTAAGACGAAATATACATCCTCCGCGGTCATGCAAACCGATGCCGGCGAAACCTCCAGTTCATAGGGTCCCTATTGGCATCTATGGCATTGTTTACTGAGCATTCCGGGAATGCTTTTGTGCAGAGAAACTGTCATGCACTTCGTCTCTTGCTTTGGTTGCGACAGTGTCCTCAGGGTCTATGTATGCAGTAAACTCGACATGTGGTGCCATTGATATCCTGCGGCGGTTCTGCACAACAAGCTATGCTTGGGAATGGCCGAGAACCACACACATAACTCACATAACTACAAGCTAGCATCCCGTCAGCGGGACTTTGCCGACATGTTGAGGTCCATTAACCCTGCACACACTATCTAGAGCCGCAGTCCTACAATCATTGCCGCCTGGTGCCCTATGGCACCCAGCCGCCCAAAGTCTCAACCGTGCACTTTACCTAAGGACCTAAGCCGCACGTTCCGCACCCATCCGCACAGCTCGAAGCACTGGGATTAAGACATGACGCAAGAACATGTATAGATATAGATAGATAGATAGACAGATAGATAGATCGATGCATTGATAGAGAGATGGATAGATAGATAGATAGATAGATAGATAGATAGATAGATCGATAGATAGACAGACAGACAGACAGACAGATAGATAGATAGATAGATAGAGGTCTAAAGCGTCTTGAGCCTTGATTTGCTGCTCTTTTGAGCCTTCTAGAGTCTGGGTCCAGGACAGCCGAGAGGCACATGTGTGCACACGGGAACGAATCCGAAGCCAGGACGATAGCGCGGCCTGGTTCAGGAGGGTTAGAGGTTTTTATGCTTCTGGGTTCGGTTCAAGGGCCGATGGCTTCCTCTTCCTTCAAAAAGAAGTAGAGTGCTTGGACTTTCGGGGTTCAGCGGTTCGGGCTTTAGGAAGTTAGGTGGTCTGAGACTGAGATGCTGTTCAGGGGTCTTGGTTGCAGCCTCCCGGCGGGGAGCATTTCGCAGAGGGGCTCCCTCGCTAGATGCAACAAGCAATCGAGAATCATAGAGCCCATGTGCGGCCTTGGCATACCTTGAGTGACTTCTTAAGCATTGAAATCATTGAAACAGACAAGATTTGAGTCAGATGAAGTTCGGTTTGGGGGCCTTGTCCACAGAGTAGGGTTCAACTGGGGATACTCGCAGCAGTGAGCCCCGGCATGCCAAACTAAGCCTTTGCTGAAATGCTGATTGGCTCGTTGAGGTTGCAGAATTACAAGTTTGCGATGCCCTAAACCCTAAACCCCAAACCCTAAACCCTTAACCCTACACAGCACCGAAGCTCGAAAGTCTGGTGCTACATGGCTAGTACACAATGGAGATGGTCTGCTCTACGAGCCTACGTTTAGTGTTTTAGGGTTTAGGGTTGCTATTTGCTACATGGGTAGTTGTCAAAATTATGGTCCCTTTTGGGTACCCTAAATAATAGGTGCCGTATTATAATAAGGACCCCAAAAGGGACCATAATTGTGACAACCACCCACATAGCGTCTCTCAATAGCGGCGACAGAACATGTTGTTGATTGATTCAACCTGATTCATCTCTTGGATGAAAACGCCTTCCGGCCCAACAACATTAAAGACCAACATTCCCACTACCGTCATCAGAGCCCGCTCAGCACCTACATAATTTCAACTTGGTCCCTGACTTGTCGTCGTCCTCAGAAGAGGACCTCGTTTCTCGTACACGTGTGTGTGTGTGTGTCTCTGCATGCGCGGGAACTTGGAGTTTGCTTGTTGAAATGAGTTGAACCTATTGGGGCCCAGAACATTAACCGGCCCCAACGACTCCAGGCTCCCTACGGTTGGCTTTGAAGCTGCAGGGCGGCAGCCATAGCAGCCTTGTGCAAGACGATCTACTTTGGGAACTGTCCAACCTACAACAACCACACTTCAGACACAAGAACGGTCAAAACAAAGCCGTGTTAGTTGGCTCAGACTTGGATTGCTTGTCATGTCCCCCTCTCAGACAAGACTCAATCCAATATACAGGCCGTCGAGATGAAACCACAGCTGTACAATCGTAGGACAAGCTGTAACTCTAAACGGCTCCCCCAGCACAAACTAACCCTGAACAACACAATCCAAAACCTTAAAAATCAGTACGAAAATCCGCCGCAACCTAGATACGAACCCAAGTTTCCATGTCTGTCTGAATATGCATGTTCGTGCATATCTGGCACATAGAAAATCGAATGCGGAACTCCGAACTCCTCCCGTGCACCCTCCTCAACCCCAAAACTATCCAAAAACCTCAATGCATGGCCTATAGTATCAAAGGGGCCTGAATAGTTACCAAAGACTATTCCATTCCCTGGACGGAGTTATACCAGAATCACCAGAACATACCCGAAACCAGATTGGAATGATTGAGGCCAGCAGCTCACAGGAGGTGTCCGCTGATGAGCACGGCGATGCCGAGCCGTCGCTGGAGATCTCCGTGACGGAGCCATCTTGCTCCTTCCAAGTCGCGCTCTTCTGAACCAGCCCTGGGGCTCCAAATAGCCCAAAGTAGGTACTATTTATAGACTTTAGACCCCGAAGTAGGTGCTATTTGTATACTTTGGGGCAGGGGGGAGGCAGAGTTGGGTTCAGGGTTTCGGGATTGATGAAATCTATCACTGCGAGAGTTCTTGTTGTGGTAAATGTCTAAGATCTTTGAGATACGATCATGTTACCAAAGTCTCGCGACAAACTCTACTCTACTAAAACGCCCGTTCGGGACTCTGTTCAGCAAGCCATAGGCCGAAATTGTGCTTCTCCGCTCCGAAACTGAAACGAGCACACGAAACAAAAACCCTTGACCGAACCATGTCACGAAGAGCCTCGGTTTCAGGTGGCTTCTCGGGATGCATTGGCGCTGACTCGGCTGTCTCCACTTTCCTTAGGCTGCAGATTTCGGGTTTCGGTGCCCGGCCCCAGGAGACAATGAACAATTACGGTTTCAAGAGGACCTCACTATCACAGAGGATCCCGATGGTTCCTTCAACAAGTCTGCGCGGTTAGCCCATGCCATCACCGGCCCCGAATTCATCGTGCTGTCGGGAACCCGTGACTCGAAGCAAAGCCCTGAGCCCCAAGATGCGAAAACAGGTCCTAAACTTCCTGAACCCTGAACCGTTGTTCCTCAACCTATATACTCCCTAAGCACTAAAGGCCAAGATTCTCATCTTTGCATACCTGCAGAATCACAGGACTGTGTGGCGACGCCTAGCGGTGCGGGCTGCGTGGGACTCACGTCTGGACCCCGAAAACAGCAAGGGATCTGCAGCTCAAACTTGCGAGACAGGTAGAACTACAAGATGCACCCCCCCCTCCCAAAAAAAAAAAATACAACAGGCTCTGGCAAAGACCTGGAGCCATACCAATACTCATGCTTCGGATACCCACATACTTCCGACCTCAGCCGCCTACCCATCCGCAGATGTGCCTGTGCCATCGAGCTCGCATGAGTCGGGACGTTTCGCTCGGAATCCTGGGCTGCGGCGACCTGACTCGTTCATTTCTGTGGGGGCAGAAGCCGTCGTAGCGAACACCACTTTGGTGATGCTGATGCTGGCGATTGCGACGATGATCAGGAAGATGAGGATGCTACTGCTGAAGATGCTGATGGTGATGATTACGACTATGATGCTACGCATAACAGAAGAGTTGCTCGGGGAGCATTTGCTTCCGGCGATACAAAGATGCCCAGCGATCAAGAACACAACAAGTAACAAATCATGACCACTCGAGAAGTTTCTCTTGCTGTCGAGACAATGGCGCCACACACACGACGGTGGCAGCAGTTTCGTAGCTCCGTGCTAGCCTCTGGGGATCAAAGCGATCCCGAGGGAACCAACATTACCTCCACTAGCAACATCATCCTACTTGGGTCCGAGTCCCCCTCTCAAGTCTCAAATGGCGTCCTTTAGACAGAAATGAGAGCCGAAGCAAGACTAACTTGTGAATTTGCTGAATTTTCTGCCTTTTCAAGGTAAGCTTACCGCACCTCTTCCGCTGGCTTGAGCACAACCCGGCTGGAGCATTCTGGCTTAAAGGCCGGAGTTCGTGGGCTCCTGGTTCCTTAGCTTCTCTGCCCGAACTCTCTCTCAACCTGTAGCTTGGCTTTGAGCTCCGGGGCTGTTAATGGCTTAGGGTTCAGGGTTGGGCTCGGGCGTTAAAAAAGGAAATGGGCTTTGGGGAGTCAACGCCAGGCGGGTCTGCCAAGGGAGACCCTCACGCCATGCTCCCCTCCGTTGCTGCTTCTACCCATAGGTCCCATCGTAGTTCCTTTTTGGGGTTACCTTATAGGATTCTATGTATGGACCCCCAAAAGGAACTACTTTAGGGCCTATGGGTAATTACACGGAGGCAGGAACAAAAACAATCCAGTATCTTGACTCTTGAATGAACCCAGGCATAACCAGCCGGATATAACTGCGATGCTTGAGGTACGTGGGTAGGTACGTGTGAATGTATGTGTGTACACATATTAAATATACTCATGGCGAAATACTTTAACGCAGAAGAGAAAGAACCCCAAACCGCTCCACACTCCAGTCCACGAGCGGACACGCATGCAAACTTCAACTCCAACCTTGGCCACGAGGCGCGATATACAAACACAAGTTTCGGAGAATTGCCTGGTGACGCCTCGAACATGTGCATCCCAGAACAGCTTACATGTACGCATGCTTACTGCTATGCATGCTAGAGTCAAAACCGGGCATAACTGGAACTTACGTGTTCCTGGCAATCCAAAGCCTGTCATAACTGAAATTTTAAGTGTTCCTGGCAATCCAAAACTGCACTTAGGCATTGCCTTTATGAGGAGTGACAAGTCTTATGCCCATTGGGGGGAAAAGCGCCGAACCCAGCCTCAAGCTCAGCCGCACCTACACTAAACCTTAAGCAAAGACCTGAAGCCGAACCGCCCGGAAACCTATAATGTAGGGACCTTAATAAAATTAGACTAGGGTCTTGGGGTACATCATACCATAGCTATAATAAGAAACTCCCAAAATGATATAGGTAACTGTTTAGGCCCCTATATTCCACAATCACATCCCTGGACCCGAACCCAAAGTACTTCAACTCACCACAAGCATTGGCATGCCCAAGATCTTCGGGACTTCGGTGATGGCGACACTTCGGGATTTTCAGAACGATCTTTCACGTAGACCATGAGATTCCTCAGCTTCGCTTTTAAGCTTAGGGGTGCTTCGGTTGTAGGGGGTGGGACGGTGCGAGATTTCGGGTTGAGGTTCGGGTCAAGAATTGAAGGCTGCTGATGGGCATCTTCAACAATTAAGCCAGCTGTGTCATCAATACGCTCTTGCAACTCCATGGGAAAACTGTGAGCCTTAAGCTACATGTGCCTAATAGCTTTGGCTCTTGAAATCGAACTTAAGGTTTACGGAATTAACTTGAAGGATCAGGAGTTGGGGGAGAGGTGGAGGGATGTGGGGCTTCTCTTCCGTTTCGGAGCTTGCTTTAGCAGAGGTTGGAAGGATTTCGGCACTGGGAGTTTGGGAAGGGTAGAGCCTTATACATCTCGTCACCTTTTTGCCGTGATTTCAAAGGGGCATACAAACCAAACGCCTGGGCACGCAGAAGGAAGGTGCTGGCAAATGCTCCATTCAGGAATCCAAAAAAGAAACCTAAACCCTAAAACCCAAACAACAATTCAGGAGTCCAAAAAAACCTAAACCCTATAAACCCAAACAGCAATAACTTTCAAGACATCTGCTTGCGAGGAGGCGACCTGAAGACTGCTCTCGGAAAGATCCCTGTGACTGAACCAGCAGTGCAAGCCTGCAGAAGCATCTAGAACCGGATAACGACAACGACCAAGAATATCGATCAGTCCAATCGGACAAAGCAGACAAAACAGAAAGAAGCAAATTAGGAAGATGAAGCATGCCACGGTGTGTTTTGCAATCAACCGCTTGCGAAAAACGGTGTTGAACAATTCCACCAGCTAGCAGCTCAGCAATGAAACCGAGAACAAATGCACAAGCACACGGACTACATGGTCATTCTAAGCAAACCTACTTTTCGAAGTCCAAAGCACCAAACCCGGCAAACCTTGAGTCCCAGGCGAACAATTGCAAAAGCCCTATCGTTTCCCAGGCTCCCACATTGTCGACTTACCAGTGTGGGCACCCCAATCTGACGCCGCCGCGGGGTCCGCGGCGAGGAGCTTGGAGCTCCTCTGGACATGTTAAGAGACCTCAGACGGATGAAAGGTTCAATTGCTGCACAGGCACATCAACACTGCTGTTGTCCCCAACACCTTTTTCCAGCTTCTGAGGGGCCAGATTTGGGAGCATTGCCGATTTCCATGTCAGATTCGCTTTGGGGTGTATTGTAGCATTGCTTTATTATGCAGCGCAACTGAGACGCACATGAGCCCACAGCAACACGACAGGGTATCCAATAACATTGACAGAAGTCTACATATAGTGCACACAGAGGAGAAGCTGACCACCACCGTCATCATCATTACTAGACTGAACAAACCTAGACCGACTTCGTGGCCATCGCTTCTGTTCTGATTACCGCGAACTCGACACTGCAATTATCCAATTGTCCCCTTAGGCGTCTGGAGGGTGAAGACTTGGGAACTAGGGTGCTCGGGCTCAGCGGTGGACGAGCGGCTTCAACTGCAAATCCGGCTGTCCACAGAGCTAAAGCTAGAGTCTGCAGCCTGCTGCTTGGGCCGGCTATAGAAGGATAGCCTGAGCGATTTCCCATCATTGCAGGGCAGGGCACAGGGCCTGCGCAACTCAGGCTTTCGTTCTACTCACGTATGCATATTCACATTTACATGTGCAGGTAGGAGTGCACACGTATGGACAGACTGGCAGATATATATATATACACACATACACAGATAAATGTACAGACTAATGTACAGACATCTACACACACACACACACATATGTGATACCGTGACTTGAACCTGACCACCTACTCGCTACCTACATACTTACCGACCTATCTACCACCTACCTACCTACCTACCTACCTACCTACCTACCTACCTACCTACCTACCTACCTACCTACCTACCTACCTACCTACCCCCCACCGACCTAATCCTACCTACCTGCCTACCTACATGCATACATGCATGCATGCACATACAGACAGACAGACACACCGACAGACCGACAGCCAGACAGACGTAACTTTGTACATAAACGCAAACGCAAGCATGTATACATGCACACATCGGACCAGCCAATCAAACAAACACACCACAAACATACATATAAGCATACATAATCATGTGTATGCACGCATAAGTATGCGTAATCATTCGCAATCATGGACATGCGTACGTATTTAGATAGATAGGCAAGTGATCACAAATGAATATATAAAAATGGGCGTATAAATATGTAGCCTAATGTAAACCTATAGTACACAAACAGATGAATAAGCAGTGCGTGTATACATGTATATGTACGTATGTACATATGTACGTATGTTTGTTTCTATGTATATGTATGCGTGTATACACACACGCATACTCATACATGAGTAACATAGGGAAACACTCAAGCAGCATGTGTTTTTGAGTCCAAGTTACCATAAGGCAGGGTCCTGAACCAACACAGGCAACGCGTGACTTACAAAGTCTTGTACATCCTATATAATACAGCTTGAAAGGACATTACTTTGCGAACCTTGTGAATTCTCTGACACCCCCGCCCCGGCACGAAAACAAACACAGCCTTGAGGAGATGTCCGATTGGTAGCGGCGTCCTGGAGGCCTCGAGACACTACCGATGTGGGACCGATGTAGGGTGTAGGGTTTGTCTAGAAGCACCGACCACGAGACCTTGATCGCAAAACCCTCGTCGGCGATTTAAGTTGCAGGTGTGAAGTCAGATTGGTGCATAAACAAGGAAAGGGCATTCACTGCCGCAGTGGGTCCTTTTGGGGCGGCGCTACGGCAAAGTTTAGCCGACGGCGGCCATGAATGCAGAAAGTACTGTTTCAGGTGAGGCTTGTGGCTTAGGGCCTGCAAGGCTTTAGGATGAGTACCTTCGGCTGTCAGTCTGCAATAGTCTGCAGAAGGTTCTCCGCAACTGTCACAACCAAGACAGGAGCTGGACATGTTGTGCCTGTTATGCAGCCTGCAGGCCTTGGAGACAATGACAATGGAAGGCCGGTTTGGAGGTACGGCAATGCAGCACAGTGCTACGCAAACTCGTCCCGCTGTACCAGCGCCTAGCCCCAAGACTCAAAACCCTCGACCTGGATACCTTGCAAGCCTTTTGATTTGATGCCTATCACAGCTTGTCGCCTGCAGTAACTAGCCCTGCAGTCTTCACACCTCCTTACATCATCCCGTCTGCAGTGTCCCTGTGCCTTGTGCGGCAATTGAGCCCGAAACTCTGATATTGTGTCATCGTCACCAAGCACTGCTTCCGAGAACTTGTAAGAGGCTGTCAAAGCTAGTGGTCCTCGATGTCCACACATCTATGGTGCTGCTTCATAAGACAAGAAACCGATCGAACTAGGCATCCTGCAGCCGATATAAACACTTCGATCGTAGTTAGTACCTATCCACGTTGCAACTCCGCATGCAGGCAGAGACGAATATCTTCGAAATGGAATGCTCTGAGCAGCCTCGATCCGTCTCTTCACTGGCCCCTTGTCCTCCTCACAGCTTGGACTCAGACACCTCCTGGAGGGAAGCTTCGGAAAAGGGGAGGAGAATCCAAAACAACAACCCCAGAGCTTGCTTGCAGCCTACTGTATGCTTGCAGTTGAGTTGTGGGGACAGGGTTGCAGTTGTGGTATCCCCAAAGTGTTTCCACCCACCCTAAGTAAATCGAAACCCGGAGTCCTCTGCTTGGGGAGGCCAGGTAGGTTTTGATGGCTCAGAGCTGGGGATGTGTTCAAAGCTCCCCTCAAGGCTTGGGGAGTGCGGCAAAGATATAAGGCCTGTTAATTCTTTCCAGTGTAGGAAGGTAGGGAAACTGTTCGGGCTCTTGTTGCTTCGGTTCTTGTCTTCAGATCTTGAAGCCGAAGCCTGCAAACATTACACGCTAATGAAACCTCACTCGCGAGGGGGCGATAAGGATTTTGCTCCAGGTTTTGAGACTGACAGGGCTTTGGGCGAAAAAGGATCTGAGCTCAAGTTTGAAGGCAACAAGGCTGACGGTTTGGGCCGTGTCAGACTTTTGCAGCCCCAGCAGGGTTCGGCCTCCCATCGCTATACTAGCCCGCGGAAACCCGCCTGGATATCTTCGGAGTCGACTCCTTTCAGGTATGCGGGGTTGTGGGTTTTGGGTTTGAGGTTTACGGTGTCTGTCAAGATTGTGATGGGCCAAAAGCCTTCCGCCTTCCACCTCCAAACTCTCGAGCAAACCTGCAGTAGTAAACTTCGAACTGAGCAAACTTCAGAGACGGGGCCTAATGCCTCCAGACCTGTACGTTAGCCAAATCCTGAAGCCTACAGCAAAGCTCGGCATTGCCCCTGCTGTCTCAATGATTGCCCCGCCGCTAAGCCATGTTACGGCCGCGATTGGTTGGCTTGGGGGCCCGGGGCTTTGTAAAAACTGCTCCTATGTTTTCCTCATCTGCTGATGCTGGGCTTGGTTGCTTTTTCTGCGAATCTGGGAGCTCTGAAAGCTAAGAACATGCGGTGTGGGCCTGCACATGTCTGAACCCGATGCGTATATTTATGAAGCTTAATCAGATCCCAGCACAAATAAATCCGTGGTTTAGAGTTCATGCCATGGCGCTCCATCATGAAGACTGCTCTGATATGCGTGTGTTCGGCTTGGGGTTGAATTTGAATGGTGGTGTTCATGCGTTCGGCTCACACGTCAAACATCGACAGGCCTCGTCATGCAGAAAAAGGTGCGACGAAAAAACACCGCCCCCTTTCAGCCCTGCTAGTTACTGCACATATTTGCAGGATTATCTGCACGCGGAGGCATCTGCAAGCCCTTCATCTTTAACGTTCTGTCCTCCTTGGTGCGCAAGGGTCTCATGTGCAGGTCGTCGACCTGTCAGCACTAGAGATAGCTTGATTCCAAGCATAGTCATCCGAAGGTCTGTAGGACACAGAAACCCACGAACTGCCGGAGTTCCTACAGTCTAAGAAGAAGGCACACATGTTAAATCACAGTCTGTCTCTAACTTAGATTACAGGCCTGGCTTCCAGGATTGCTTCAAGCTATGCAGTTGGAAAGTGAGTCAGGCGAAATGGGCTGGCGATGGAAGGCGCGAATGGCAGGAGTGAAGCTGCTACAAACTTATATCCAGAATGATGAAGTTATGTTATGGTTCACCAACGAGCTATTACAAGGAATGCTGCATTAGACCCTAAGTAACTGCAAACCGTAAACTATGAAAAGGTGCAGCTACCTACATTTCTTTCATTCATATACATATATTAGGTGTCCGCTACTGAACGAACCTACACAAATATGCATGTCTTACAACACCCCATCAAGCCCAACATGCCTCTAAGATACAGCCTGATATGCCTGATAAGCACTCTAGCAGATCAGAGCTCATCTCTGTATGGGTTACCAGGCCTCTCAATGCTCCGACTTGAAGCCCTCAGCCCTGCGCGAGGCGAGCCCAGAGAAATTCGTACCTCGTAGCTGTTAGGGTGTGCTGCTTTAGGGGTTCGAGGTTTAGTTTAGGCTTTTGGGAATCGCGAGTCAGTTGGGGCTGAAGCTTGAAGCGGCTTCAGGCTTAAGGTTTAGAGTTAGGGAGGTCTTGGAGGCTTGTCTGGTTTGGACCCCGTCTTGGGGGCGAGGGACGGGGGCTTCAATCTGGGATACTAGGCTGCACAGTTCTTCGAAACTAACAATCAGTGGCCGCTTGGTTCAGGTTGGTTCTGTCCATATTTAGGCAGAACTGAACACTGAGAAACTGCGGAGCGGAGCACAGACAGTATGATTCGCCTCTGTCGAACCAACTATCGAAGGGCACTCCAGGGTGCGAATGAAGGCGCGTTCGAAGATGGCCGCGCCACCATGTCCACCCTCATCGCCTTCCTCAGAATGAGAACGAAGGTTCAATTTCATTCAGATACAGCTCTCGATTAATTCTTAATCCATTTGGATCTCAATCAACAAGTCTGTCAGTGTTTACCGTTTCATAGTCTCGATACTCGAAGCTAAACCCTACAACCGACAACCCCCACCGGGCGTCGAAGAGGAAGACGTTCTGGCCAGCCGGTGCGCCTTGCAGAAGCTCGACCATCTTTCGAGCATGGCACCTTGCTTGAAGGATCGGGTTTAGGGTTTCAGGTTCCCAGGAGTGGCTATAATGAGGATGCAAAAGTCACTTAAGAGGGGTCGCACGTAGTTCTGGAGACCGGGTCCCCGTAAAGACGAAGTCGCATGGTGTTGTCAAGCCGTATGGGTGTGGCGCTAAGAAGAAGACCAGACCAGCAGGCAACCACCAAGAAGAAGTGTACCATGAAAACCTCCCGGTATGTGAATGAAGCCATGAAGCGAATCATGAAGAAGTAGTAGAATCGATGCGTCTAATAGGCACAATGTTGTATGGTTGGGTGCTTACTGATATGTGAGATGGTTCGTGTTGTTGTGCAGAATCACAGCGAGCAGCCGTCAGAGGCAATTTTGCAGCTGTCTCGCCTTTGTGCATCGCATTTAGCGGAAGGCCGCAAGACCAGGTACCGGAGACTGATATCCGCGAGACAATACACGCACAGAGCTAGCAGTGCAGCCGGTAGGAAAAGAAAAAACAATATTTAGGAACTCTCAGAGAGACATGTGGATGAGGCCAGAGTCTCGAAACATTGTGTTGCTTTGGTTTGTTTGGTTTCTTTTTTTGTTGGTTTGCTCTTGTGGTGTGTGTTGGTTCTTTGTGTGTGTTTGGTCTTGTTTGGTTTATATGTCGTTTTTGGTTAGGTTGTGGTGTTTTCTGAATGTGTTTGGCAAGTTGTTGTGGGCGTCGGCAAGGGGTGTGCAGTTTTGTTTCTTTGGCCATCCGTCTGTGTGGTCATTTGTGAGTCCTGCCTGTGTTTGGTGTGTTTGGAAGCGCGCAAAACACGCAAAAAAGCGCACTCTCAGTGTCCCGTCTTGTAATTCTAGCTCGAGCTGCTGCACATTTACTACACTTGCAAAGCTTCAAGTAAGTTCTAACCTGTACCGCTTCGCGCTCACATGACTATGAGTACGGAGGCTCTAAGACGATAAAGGGATGCCCGGAACCTCCCTCAAGAGCTTGGGTTTGTCAAGAAGTAACGATCCTTTCTGTACATCCCAGGGCGACTTCTTCGGGGCAAGCCCGGCGTACATCTGACCCAAGCAATGCATCATGAATAATGTAGGGTTTTGGGTCCTGAATAATGTAGGTATAAACAGGAACCCTGGAAAATAATAATGGTAATTACTTTGGCTTCGATATTATCATTGGGAACTTTGCCCAGGCCCTGCACGGATGCACGCGGTCATCCCGAGTGGATGTTGTGAAGAGAACCTGCAGTGCCAGATATTCAAAGGAACACCGGCCAAAACTGACTGTGCCACTGGCGACTCAGGAATCCGGGTAACCTTTGCCAGCCTTTCGGTGTTGCTGCTTCTGTTCGATCGAAAGCTTGCAGTTTGGTTGTGGTGTGGGCCGCCCCTGCTAATGCCACGGTGCCCACATCACCAAAACAGTCATGTAACGTCAGGATCTAAGAAGGCTATCTGGGAGTCAGTACACACGAACCAATAGCATGGCCAACAAGACGTTGGCAGCTAGCAGCGACCTGTAAGAGCGCATCGAGAAAGTTGGAAGATGCTTGGAGAGCACATGAAGCTGCAGTGTGGCTACAAGTCTGGCTCTTACTTCGACAAGCTGTTTGTAGTACAGATGAGGACGACAATTGCAAAGCCAGTTGAAGGCACATGCGTTCTGCAAGCCTCCGACTGTGAACTGGTCAGCTCTACCTCAAACAGCACTCCACATCTTGTCGGGGCCGCTTGCAGAACGAGAGGTCAGTACCTTCCAGTAACCCGTTCGCAACAGAACTCAACCGACCTCCGGCATCCGTTGCGCTTTCTCTTCCCGCAAGAGATCCTGAGCTGATGGCACTCGGATCTCATCGCATCCATGTCCAAATCCCTTACGTACACGATGATACGCAAAACACTGGAGAACAAAATGCCAACAGGAGAACCTCTGGGCTCTACAAATCTAAACGCTCCAGCCAACACCAAAGAAGCCTGAAGCCGAAAGCTACACTTGAGTGTCAGGTTCTTCAAATCGTACCTCGTCCCTTAGGAATTGGGCAAACAACAAAAAGCTCGCAGGACTTGATTTGCATCCTTTTCCTCAAGGCTCAAGGGGTCCCATGATGTCCTGTGCTCTTCTTGGCGGCACCTGATCTAGTCGCACTTCTGTGGACCTGCGCTACATAAACTGTCCTTGACCTTGTCACAATCCCTCACAGGATTGAGCAGCATGGGACACTAGAGCGAAGACAAGTTATCATGATAGATAGCTTCCGACAGCGCCCTAACTACAAATCCTCAACCTGAACCCTTGGGACCCCTGAAACCTGGACCTTCCTTATGGCTTGCCCTCGTCGATAACCGGTCCTGTGCGAGATGGTACGCAGAGATCTGCCTCCAAAGGGGCGACAGGTCAACTCTCTGTGAATGCCTGCAACCTGAACTGATCATTTTTGGGGAGGTTCTTGCACAATCATGCAAACCTACGCGTGAATTGTGAATGGAACTCCCTCGCACATCCCTGCAGGGTTGGATGGTGAGCCCCTCAATCAAGGAGCAGGCTTTAAAACGACTGCATTTCCAGTGAATGTGTTTCCAAGGCGCCTGTTCTTAATTCTTGGCTCGACCCTGCAAGCAGAAAGCTGTCGCGATTGAACATGAATCCCGTGCATATTCTGGGGCCCCTCCAGCTAATTGTCGTGTGTGGAGGCATTTTGAGGCCGCGGAAGTGTTCGGATGCGATTTCAGCTTTCGTATCCCAGGAAGACACTCCCTTCACTAGTGTGTGTGGAGGAACCGTATGAGCACTTGGGTAATTAGGTGAAGGCTTTAGGGAATTGTTCAAGCATACACCAGGACCTCTTTTTTACAGGATTCTTGACTTCTTACATGGGAGCTTCCAAAAACAAGGGGTACCTTATTCTGGGGTCCTTATAATAAGGATCCTACTATTTAGGGTACTATATTAGAGTCCCCTATTTTCGAAAACCCCCACATCTTTTGGCAACCGCATGGGTCGGAAAGCCGGAAAGCGATAACATCGTCGAACCCAGGCCTCAGAAGAGGGCGTAGGTCGCCGTCGTCCGGATCTCCGTACTCTTCCAGCCAACCTCGGGCGGAGAAGCGGGGCTCGTTGCTCTGGAAGAGTTCGGGGCTTAGAGATTTTCGAGCGGCTGACAAGATTTCGGCTGAAAACAAAACTTGCAGGTTTGGGGTTGGGGGAGTTGCGTTCGGAGTCTGTTCTAACCAGAGACCCATAACTTCGGGTCAAGCGACCGTGGCCTCAGCGACAGGAGATGGGGAAGCCTGGTCCCTTTAAATAGTTATTTAACTGCCGGGGAGGAATATCCAGGCCGTGGGCCGAGAGCTTGCGCGACTTTGGGTTTGTGGGAAATGCAGTGGCTGCAGCTAGAAATGGCCTCGGGCTGATCAAACACATGCTTACAACTTCAACCTTGATTCCGGAAACTGAGAGCCGAAACCTATCGACACCTGGGAAATTCCAAATCCTTCACATACCCTAGACATACCCTAATCTCTCTAATTACAGAATCACACCCAATAACATCACAAAACCTTGCACACCCGTATAAATCCCTACATCCAAACTGGACCCTGAGCCCCCTCGACAGTCCAGAAGCTTGCTCCGGCAAGGAGACGATGGTAGTGGAGCATATCCGTCAAAGGTACCTCCGACCCCTGCCCCCTCCAAGAGATTCATCAGGAAACCAGTCGGCTCAAGTTAGTTATAGAAAACACCCAGATTCGGAAGGGTCGTCATGACTGTGCCTCTGGATTCAACTTGGAGTCTTTACCCCCTAAGCATCAAACCCTAGGTGCCCTTGCAAAACACCAGCATATCAGCCAAAGCTACAAGATGTCAGACCAGACTGCCATGACTGCCTCAATATGCATCAACTCTCACGATCCCGCTCGCACAAACGCCCCATGAAACCTGAAGCCAGCGAAAACCGAAGCCAACAGGAATAGGAAGCCACCGTGCCTGGCTGTGCACCAGCCAGAAAAGCTAGAATTAGGGTGTCGTGAGGGTTTAGGCTAGGCAGGCTCCACTGGCAACTCGTTCCCCTTCAGCATGCCCCAAACAGCACAAGCTCTCAATGACTCAATGCCCACCCAGCCCAAACTATCCAAAGTCTTCAAGGCCGAGCCCCACAGCTGAAGTCACAGAACTGAAAACGGCGGGCCTCGCCAACCATGGCGGCGAAACGCTGTGGGCCCTTGCTGGCCATCTCCTGCAAGGACAAGGAAGCGGGGTAAGATGCGCTAAGGACAAAGTCTAAAGACCGCGCTGCCCTGCAGCTGGCGTTCAGGGCATCTAGCGAAAGTCCCGCGCATACTACCTCCAAGTATCTTATGATTATGAGAGCTGGCTCGCGTGAGAAGTGTGCTGTGCATTACTAGCCCAGGGGTTGCCAAAAGATTCTGCTACAACGTGCCGTTCGCATGGGTTTGCTTGAGGAGTGAGGCGAACGCCGGTAAACCCAGACGCAAACAATATGAATCTTCGCATTCAGACAACCCTTCAAGGCTGTTGACTGCTACATTGATGTAAGATCATCTTACAGTACCCCGCAACCATCTGCTAGTGATCCCGACGCTCGCTCGCACGCACCCAAAATGGATGTAAGCATGTATGCAAGCATGCAGGCATGCATGTATGTGTATGTGTGTATGTACATGTGTGTATATATATGTGTGTGTACATGTATGCATGTGTGTATGTATGCATGTGCATACACGTAAAAGAATTAAGTAAGTAAGCAAGTACGCAAGGAAGTAAGTGAGTGAGTCAGTGAGTGAGTGAGTATGCAGTAACCGAGTACGTAAGCAACTAGGCAAGTAAGTAAGCAAGTAAGCAAGTAAGTAAGTAAGTAAGTGAGTAAGTAAGTAAGTAAGTAAGTCAGTAAGTAAGTAAGTAAGTAAGTAAGTAAGTAAGTAAGTGAGTAGGCATGTAAGTAAACAGGTAAGTCAGCAGGTAAGTAAGTAAGTAAGTAAGTAAGTAAGTAAGTAAGTAAGTAAGTAAGTAAGTAAGTAAGTATCCAACCAACCAACCAACCAACCAACCAACCAACCAACCAACCAACCAACCAAGCAACCAACCATCCAGCCACCCAACCAACCAACCGGCCAACCAACAAGCCAGTCGACCAACCAACCAAGCAACCAACCCACCAACGAAGGAACGAACGAACGAAGGAACGAACGAACGACCGAACGAACAAACGAATTAACTGACTGACTAATTAACTAACTCACTAAGCCTGCATGTATGTATGTATGTATGTATTTATGTATGTAGTCCCGTGCGTATGTACATACATGCATATCATTGCAAACTAACAGTCACTAGTAGAGTAGACTAGCCAGATACTGAATCTTCCGCTGATTAACAACTGGCCGACCAGGCTCTACAAAGAACATTCTGCTCAACCCATACCCTACACCCCACACCTGCAACCATTTGTTTCATCAAGAGCTTAAGCCTGTAAGACCCGAAACCCAACTCTGAGCCCGGAGCCTGATACGCCCTGAGCCCTAACCTGTCCCGGACCACTTGGTTGGCCACCAGCAATCCCCCGTTTGAGCGCCCGAAAAGACCAAGTCGACCTCCGAAATCAGCAGATCTCACAATCGCGTGTTAGGACTGAGGTTAGGACTTGTAAGTTATTTTCGATTGAGGACATAAGGCTATTTTCAGGAGCGGATGCAAGGGGTGTGGATGAGGATGTGTAATACACAGTTCAGTTTCACAGGATAAAAGCCGCAGGGGTTTAAGTGCTGGAGTTCTGGGGTTGGGAGCAGGCATACGTACGGGTTTGGGTTTCAATATGTGTCAATGTTGCAGGTGTAGAATTAAGATTAAAGGGCACAAAGTCTGGGATGAATACACTCTCGGCCCTGCTGTGACCACTTGACCCACGATTTCGGCACTTGGTGAACATTGAAACAGCATGTCTCTGTCGATCTTCCCGATCATAAGTCCAAATAACCGGGAGTCGCAGAGGGGTCCTGCGCAAATTCGCATAAATGGCCCTGAGGTCGAACTGCCTTGACAGCCTAAACCCGAAAGCTTCCAGGGCTTGGCCACTTCAGGGTCCTCAATTCCAGGCAGAGATCCTAAAGTCCTAGAAACCCTGGGGGGTGGGGGGGGTTAGAGCTCCAACCCCCCGGAAGCCGAAACCCAGCCTGGCGTTGCGAGCTGTTTCGCAATCAGGTGATCTGCTATGGCTTCCAAGTCCTTCAACTTTTATGCGTCGATTGCACTGCAGGTTTAGTAAGGACAGTGAGGACTTCCAATTTGGGTAACGGGGCTTTCCGGACGATAGTTGTCAAGCAGTTTGCCTTGAAAGGAACCACCGACTTCCAATGCACACTGTTTTTCGAAAATCTTGGCCAGCCTTCCAGCAGGCTGGGTCCGGAGCTGCATAAAATAGCACTATTGCAATTCAATACTCATGTCATAGCCGTTTTGCCACTGCGCCTTCCCTCCCAAAACTCTGCACCCCAAGCCGAAAGCCCAAATCCCCGCCAAACCACTGAACCGTCCTCGTAGGCCCTCAGGCGACCCAGGGCTCCTCGACCCGCGGCCTCCGTGGGCAACGCTCAGGCCGAAATGGCTTTCATAGGTTGTCGGGCCTTGGGAATTTCAGGGATTGAGATGACAGTCTATATAGGGTTTTTTTTGGAAGCAGTGACCATGGTGTTCAGGGTTTAGGCTTCGCCATAATCGTGGTTCCAATCCCGTGGGAAGTATGACTTCATTTAGTCGCTCGGTACGGTAGGGAAAAAAAGAACAGCCGAAAAGTTGTGGACTTCGGGCTCGTCTTTTGCGGTGCTTGGGCTCCATAACTCTCTCAGACTGAAGCTTTCGCGAATGGGCGGGGCCGAGTACGTCCTGATCACAACAGCAGGCATTGCTGGTCCCGATATGGGGGTTGCCGAAAATAGGGGACCCTAATATAGTACCCCAAATAATAGGGTCCTTATTATGGGGACCCCAAAATAAGGTACCCCTTCTTTTCGGAAACTCCCATATGAATGAACTAGTTCTTGGGATCTTCGGTCATAGGCCAGCTCCTAAACCAGCGACCCCGACTCGAATTCAACACTAGGCGGGCTGTGAACTCGCAAACAGACCAAACTACTGAGCCTAGACCGGTTGCACTGACCCCAGTGCCTCTCAAGCTCACATGAGGAGGTCGGTTGCAATATGCTTCTGTAGATTTCTGGTTGTGCTAGCTACCAATACTATCTTGGGGGTTCCATATTATGATTATTCCCCAAACAGCTTTAGCTGA